AGATTTCATTCTGGCCTGCAGGCGAAAGCAAAAACGTACTTTTCTTGAGCAAAAAAGAAGATGGTTGTGTTACAAATGTCTTTTTTTTTTTCCTCAAAGGGGATTAAATTGATATATTAATGGTTAATTTAGAATGTTACCAAAGTTGGTTCTATTAAAATGCAATGTGTTCTATTAAAATTATGGTTTATGCAAAGCATGATTTGTTGTGAACTTTAATTCTCTTCTCTTTTGAATCCTGGGGAAATAAATAAACCACTGCATGAGTGGAGCTTCATTGGAAACTTCCAGTTTTATATATTGTTACTTTTGATAAGAAACAAAGTATCATCTTTCAAATTATGTCCATTTTTCAGGAAATTCAAACAATAAATGACGTTTTGGCGCTCTTTTATGTGGTGTGACAGATCGCAGTTTAACTGCTGCGCGGAGCATGAGTGAGCGCGATCATCTCCCCTTCTCTTTTTACTACTAGTTTTACCGTGAAATAAACATGAATGAACATCTCATGACTCATGTAATCGCTCAATCAGTGTTTCAACCGCGGAAAGACTTCAGTAAAACAGCTTGTAAACAAAATGTCACGTAGCATTTCATTTACCTCAGGCAAGTCATCAGTGTCTACAGCTCATTATTTGCTAGAGAAATGAAGTCTAGTGAAGAGCATTTTGTGAAGTATTAGACTATATAATCATATTTTACGTTAGTGATGTCTTAATTATTGAATGTATATCTAAATAAATCTGTTATGAAACAAGTTATGACAGCCACAGTGTAAATGAATATATTTCAACAACAAATAGAAATTTTATAAGTTTTATACATTTTTAAGTTAGAATTTAATTTAAAAACTGCATTATGTGCAATTTACATATTTGCATAATTTTTTTTTGGGTTGAGTGTTGATTATTATGTTTAAATTTTAATATATAAATAATGTTTGGGCTCTGTTGTTAATTGTACCCTTATAGTAGGCTAATGTAAAAGGGTTCCCTATAGTTCAGAGCATAAGCTGAGGTAGATTTTTATCCCTAAGAAAATGTTAATTATAATTGAAATCATTATTTGTTCAGTAAATTTATTTCCAAAAATAGTAAATACCCCATACCTTCGAGCAAGTTCATTCTTTCCGTTCTTTCCATTTGGAATTTCTTTTCAATTCTTTCCACCTGTTTTTTCAGAAATGCATACAATTTGCATAACTGCTCTTCAAAATGGACATTTCCCAGTTCATACACATTGTATATTTTCAGGGGGGGGTGTTATAGACGTTGAACAAAAATATACCTAACTGTTTAAAGGAACTATTTCATCTCTAATGAGCACATGGCTCTTTCTGTATATCAGCATATTAATGCACTTGTGGCATTGGTGTCGAGCGAGTCATATTCCTTACACCAGGAGTCTCTAGATTTTAGTGATCTTCGTATGAGAGCATTTTAGGCTGGGGTCTGTTGACAGTGTACAGTCTGTTATAGAAAGAGGAACAAACAGTCCTGGCTCAGGTCAGAGCAGAGAGGTGGAGAGGACAGCACCTGCTGCGTGGGAAGGCCGTGTGGCACGGACGTAGGGCGAGAGGAGCAGGAAGTCTTCGTGTTTGCAGTGTCATTTTAGGATGATAGTGATTTGTAACAGTCTTATGTTTACGGATGTAATCTCATGTCACTTAAACTGTAAATGGGAACAATGAAACATCAAATTAAAATTCAATCAAAATCAAATTTTGGCCTTATAAAATGTATGTAAAATGACAGTAAAAGTTTCCAGAGGTTAGATTATAGTATTCTAAAGCAATGCTGAGTGAAATACTCATTCTTAAAGGCACAAAAAGGGGTAAAAAGTAGTGCTGGGTAATCGTGATTAATCCCCCCCCCCCCCACACACACACAAAAGTTTTTGTTTATATAATATGTGTGTGTACTGTGTATATATATTATGTATGTATAAAGACACACATACAGTATATATTTTGAAAATATTTACATGTATGTACTTGTATATATTTATATTAATATAATGTATATTATATATAAATCTAGTTAATATATAAACATATATTTTTCTTAAATATATACATGCATGTCTGTGTATTTATATATACACATAATAAATACACACAGTACACACACATATACTATGTGGAAATTCAAACAATAAATGACGTTTTGGCGCTCTTTTATGTGGTGTGACAGATCGCAGTTTAACTGCTGCGCGGAGCATGAGTGAGCGCGATCATCTCCCCTTCTCTTTTTACTACTAGTTTTACCGTGAAATAAACATGAATGAACATCTCATGACTCATGTAATCGCTCAATCAGTGTTTCAACCGCGGAAAGACTTCAGTAAAACAGCTTGTAAACAAAATGTCACGTAGCATTTCATTTACCTCAGGCAAGTCATCAGTGTCTACAGCTCATTATTTGCTAGAGAAATGAAGTCTAGTGAAGAGCATTTTGTGAAGTATTAGACTATATAATCATATTTTACGTTAGTGATGTCTTAATTATTGAATGTATATCTAAATAAATCTGTTATGAAACAAGTTATGACAGCCACAGTGTAAATGAATATATTTCAACAACAAATAGAAATTTTATAAGTTTTATACATTTTTAAGTTAGAATTTAATTTAAAAACTGCATTATGTGCAATTTACATATTTGCATAATTTTTTTTTGGGTTGAGTGTTGATTATTATGTTTAAATTTTAATATATAAATAATGTTTGGGCTCTGTTGTTAATTGTACCCTTATAGTAGGCTAATGTAAAAGGGTTCCCTATAGTTCAGAGCATAAGCTGAGGTAGATTTTTATCCCTAAGAAAATGTTAATTATAATTGAAATCATTATTTGTTCAGTAAACTATCGAAATCATACCGAATCGTGACATCAAGACCGAGGTGCATACTGAACCGTCACGTTTGTGTACCGTTGCACCCCTAATATATATATATATACAGTGGGTACGGAAAGTATTCAGACCCCCTTAAATTTTTCACTCTTTGTTATATTGCAGCCATTTAAAAGCTTTGTTGATAATAACATATTCTGAACTTCAACATTTTTCAACATCACTATAAAAGATGAATTACTTCTTTCCAAAATCTTGCCTTGTCCCACTATTTTTCAAAACTGCATTTTCAGCCTATAGATCACTAATATGAACCCACTCCATCTTCAGACGGAGAGCCGTAACTCTCGACCCCAGAGGCTGTTTTGTGTTATTTTCCCTCCTAGTAAAACACACAGAGCAGCGCAGTGTCTCTGCAGATGAGCGTATGACAGTGACCTGCCTCCCCTCTGCCCTCTTCATGCTACTGCTCTCCAGCGATGCTCCAGGTGAAAGATGACAGAGGATAAGACTGCTTTCATCCTTCACCGTTACACTCGACACCTAAACCTAAAGTAACTGAACTTGTAAATTAGGATGTTCATGCTGCCTGAAGCAAAGCTGTACTTGTTAATTAATTTCCCCTTTCCTTTTAGTAACAACTTTCAAAATAAACTAAGCTTGGTATAGCGATAATTGATGTTTTTTAATAACCCTTGTTCACTGAGGCCTAATGAAAATTGCTTCTTTGCATTGAGCTCACACTGTAGTTTGCATTAGCGAATGCTTTCATGCATTAACCATTGGCACTGTGTGGTATCTCATTTATGCTTTGTTTCTCAATTGGAAAGGAGAGCTATCTTCGCACACAAAGCTGAAGTAAGTATTTTTAGCTTTTTGTCTTTTCCCTCATTAATACGCCTTATGCAGAGGCCGTTTCAAATACTGATGAGCCGAGAACTTTGAAGCCAGCTCAAGAAATCCCTTGAGTCAGCTGTATTTTTGAACTGTGTGGTGTTGAAGTGATTACATTATAGTAAATTACAAGCAGATGCATTTTGTTGTTGGTATAAAAAGCTGTTCCTTGTTTTTGTTGCTGAGATGTGTGTTTGTTTGTGTAATAATAGAAAGTACTAAGCTGAGAAAAGGAACATGATGAGCTTCATGGCTTGAGTGGTCAATGAAGCTCAAAGTGTGTGCAGGTGTTTCCTTTAAACACTAATAAATTGACTAGTGTGACAGTTTCACATGGGTTACATCAGTTCTCAGCAGCCTAATTTTGAATTCCGCTTTTAACAACTGCACCCTGAAAGAAACAACATTTATTTATTGCAAAAAAGTCAATGTAATTCATATTTGAGATAATCACATAAGGCAGATTTAATCACACATTTAACAACAGAGCATGTCATGTAATCTTCAAAATAATTGGTGCCTACAGACACCAACTATTAAAAAAGTTCCATGGTCATGTATAAAAAAAAGCCTTAAAATAAAATAAATTATTTCAGAAAATAAAACAGATTTCAGTTTGTAAAACAAAAAGAGTTTCAACAAAAAGAGTAAAAGTAAAATAAAATAAAATAAGATTTCAGTTTGGTGATCTCTAAGATACAAAACACTTTATTTGGGTGTTTTAGTTGTAAAATATTGTTGATTTGCTTTTTCCATTATTTTTAACAAAAAGAGTGAAAATTAAATTAAATTAAATTAAAACAAAAAGAGTTTTAACAAAAAGAGTGAAAGTAAAATAAAATAAAATAAAATAAGATTTCAGTTTGGTGATCTCTAAGATACAAAACACTTTATTGGGGTGTTTTAGCTGTAAAATATTGTTGATTTGCTTTATCCATTATTTTTAACAAAAAGAGTGAAAATTAAATTAAATTAAATTAAATTAAATTAAATTAAATTAAATTAAATTAAATTAAATTAAATTAAATTCATTTAAATTAATTTAAATTAAATTAAAAAAGAGTTTTAACAAAAAGAGTGAAAGTAAAATAAAATAAAATAAAATAAAATAAAATAAGATAAAATAAAATAAAATAAAATAAAGATCATTAAAATTAAAATAAAAGAATAAAAGATTTCAGTTCTCCAAGATATAAAACACTTTATTGGTGTGTTAGTTGTAAAATGATTGTTTATCAGTAATTTTGTTCCTGCTCAACAGAAGAAACTGATTGTACAGATGTGCCACAAATTCTCCAATTTACTCTCTGCTTGTTTCATTTGAAAGAGCAGCCATGGATATATACTTCATAACTTTCATAAGACATGTTAAGCTGAAACTTTTACATTGTGGTAAACTGGTGGTACTGAATTAATGTGGATTGCAGCTTCCCTTTGTGGTGACATCACTTGAAACTGCAATGCTGTTGCTTTTATAAGGCAGCCCACTCAAGCAGCCTCTGTACAATTATGAGATGATCGCAGGAAGTAAATAGAAAAGTTTAGATACTATAACAGTTTAGAGTATAAGACTGTGCACATGGGAAAATGTAAGTACAATTTCTGAATATCAATACAATATTTAGATATAAACATTTCACATGCATTATGTTGCAGTATGCAAATATACTTATTTACTTACTAAATGCACCGCAAAGGCATAATGCATCAACAAAATATATAGATTTTTTTACTTCAATTTAGGACGGAGCAAAATATGCAAAACGTACTCAGCTCCTATTACATTATACAGATGGAAACAAATGAATCATTGCTGTTGTGCCATGTTATCTGTTCTGATAAGTGGCGTGATTAATTAATAGCTTAGTTTTTGCCTTTTCATCAACAGCAGAGATTTGCATGTTTTATGATTTGACGATATAAATTTTCTCCTTTAGTAATTAATAATGCCAGCTTGGTTGTTGTACTGGTGCCTCCATTTTTTTTTTTTTTTTT